GCCGACATGAACACCCTTTTATTTGAAAAAGAAAAAGGATACTTTAATCTCTAAACACCCCCAAGTAATGGGTGAGGAGGCCTATTTTTTAAGATATGTCCAGGACATGGCCACCATCTTGAAAGCGTTACGTTTGATCAAAATAGGGTGTCCTGTGTCTTTTAACCCACCCTGTGTGTGCAAATGTACACACAGGAGAGGAAAAATTTCCAGGGACTCCCTCATAAACCTCATGCTGCTTTATTAATATTTTACGGTCATTTAACCCCTAAAACAATGCCATGGAAATAGTTATTTTGTGATGGCTTGTTTGTTGTACTGGTCCATTTTCATTTATGCATTTTATTAATTAAAAACAAAATTAAGAATTTATTGTAATTTTTTAATGATCCCTAAGCGCTCATGAACCCTGGGGTTCCTTGGATCCTGGTGAGAATATGATGTACCTATGGTGTTTCCTCTAGGTTTGTTAAATACACTCTATCCATATATCTGGATAGATTTTTTTTAAACAATAACGAGCCAAAATGAAAAAATAGTAATGACTTTCTACTTCTTACCTTTTTTTAAATGTAAGGAGTATGAAGTACATGCTTGTGTGAAAATGTAAGGAGTACAAGGAAAATGTTGGCTGAAAAATAATTACTCAAGTAAATTATAAATGAACAAAATTTCTGAAGCCCTAAGGGGTTTTAGAGGTAATTTTCGCCCAAAAATACACAGCAAAATAAAACAAGAATAGCTCCACAGTTATAGGGTCTAAATGCTAACTCTTGGTACCTCTGTAAAGGTAAGATCTTAAAGAGAATTTCTTAAGTGAAACCACTATTGTAACCCTTACTGTGCCTGAGTTACTTGTGATTAAATAAAGAAAAAAATGTAATTTTTTTAGCCTCGCCTAAAGATTTTTTAAAATTAACATTGCAAAACACAATGAAAACTCTTGTGAAAACCCAGGAATGCCCTTAGATTTTATTATCTACATCTTGAGAAAAATTGTAGCAAAGTAGGACTGAATAAGTTGAAGTATATTCATTTCACAAAGGTTTTAGTGAGCAGTGTGCCAGGCGGAAATGGCATTTTGGCACAATTTAGCCAAATGTACCCAAAACTGTGCCAAATGGGTTTTTTACTTTATAAAAGGGAATCTGGTCAAATAAAAGTGTTGATTTCTATTATAGGACTCATTCTGCATATGATATAACCTTTTCTTTTTACATTTACTCTGTGCATCATCAAAATCTACCAGAGTGCACACCATGAAATCACTGAATGGAACCTAACTCCTCCTTGACGTTTTACGCATGAGGGCTGTTATTTATACCCTCGGTTACACACGAACTTCACATCACCAAACAAAAAGTAACACTGTCAAGATATATCCCTGAATTTATGAAAGCTTCATTTTTTCAAAGATACCAAAGGGAGGGCTGTGGAACCAAAACGTGCACAGCAACAGATGCGGAGAACTTCCTGATACTGAAACGGTCCGTGACTGTTCAAGTAACTTACAAATGTTTATATAGCTCTAAAATCATAAATATTTATCCAAAAATAATTTGGTGACTCATTTTAAAAACATTAAAGACACCTTTTGTGATGGACTTAGCAAAAGTTTGGAAAAATAAGTTTTATACTTTAGCAAACAACAATGCAATGATGCCATCTGCTGGCCCTGTACAGGGCCCACGGGGCTTAAGGGGTTTTCCTAAGGACCTATTGTGGGGAACCTAGAACAAGTTAAGATCCATCTGTGGGCTAGACAAAATATGTTCATTTGATTTAATTCACAAAATGAATCTCAGATTATGAAATTTCAACTTCTCAGTTCTGCCTGTTCTAAGCTCTCTTCAGAACAAGCTGTTTATGCAAAAAGGTGCTGTTGGCCACCCCATGGGCAACCCCCTCCCAACCTTTTGTTTACCTTAGCTCCGCCCTCCAAACATGCTGCTTATGTTAGAACTTCAGAAACGTAAAAACAAATGACTAGTATAAGTAGATGTTACAACGGTAGCAGACAGGCTGCTCACAGTGTGGTCACGATCAGTGCTTGATAGGGACGGACTTATCATTAGACCGAAGTCAGGCTGTTTGGTGCTGGGGAGGCAAACGCGTGTCCTTCGCTGCTTCCTGGAGCTGGCGAAGACAAACTGAGGGGCGGTCAATGTCCGCCACTCGAGCCTGGAGGCTTCCATGTCACCAGTGCTGTGCTGCAGGAGTCTCCATAAAGCCTGGAGGCTCCCGTGAATTGAACGCTGTGGCGCAGGAGTCTCCAGGCTGCTAGTCAGGGACATTGACTKCTCCTCAGTTCGTCTTCGCCGGCTCCAGGAAGCAGCGAAGGATGCACGCTGGCCTCCCCAGTACAAAGGCGCCTGACTTCGGACAGATGCTCCAGTCTGTCCCTACCAAGCCCCGTGGGTGTCCGCAACTGTGCGCAGCTGGATCAGGTGACGACGAYGCACCCTGCGCTGTGCAGCCAGCCCAGGGGTGAGCAACAGACTTGTGCCCGGGGAGGCAAACGCTCGTCTGTCTTTGCTTCCCCAGGTCAGAGTGGTGGAAGGGGGGAGGCGGTTCGTGCTCCAGCAGCACCCAGTGCAGCACAGACAGCACAGGGGAAAAGCGAGGAGCACAGACAGTCGTTGCCATTTCCCYAGGCAGAGGGGAAAGGCGAAGCAGCTAGCCTCCTCGGTAGTCGATCTTGGCAGAGCGGTCAGTGTGTGCAAAATGACAAATCATTTTCATGCCGAACAGCAACACAAAACACAACACATCACTGACCGTCATCATCTGCAGATTTGTGAGGAACAATAGGGACAGAAGTTTTCTTTAGCTGGAAGTCCTTGGGTAAATCCTCCTGATAGTAGTTTCCTAAGTAGTCCATGGTGGAATTATTTACACAAACTACAACTTTCTTTGTCAATAATGCTACAACATTGGTATCAAAGATAAAAATTTAATTAAATAAAAATAAAATTAAGCCACCCATTGTCGTTCTCCATGACTGTTGTAAAAACAGCAGAACTAACGTGGCCGTCCTGTGAAGGAGTGGGTGGAGTCTCCGCTTGGGTTACCAAGTGAGGGGCTGGGCTCGCCTTGGCATTGCTAAGTCACTGGGATTGTGACGTCACAATCCCCAGGTTTTTGAAACTGCTCATTTGATGATACTAAAAAACCCATTTACATATTGTCAAAAAACAATGGGGAGTATTTATTTATTTATTTTTATTTTTTGGCACTTAAGACTGTTTCTGGAAGCAGTACAGACCCAAATCGAAGCATGAAAACATGTAAAAAAGTTAATTTGCATAATAGGTTCCCTTTAAGTAAAGTAACAAAGTATATTTACTTTGTTACTTTACAACTATGTGGATATCAAGAGTGTTTAAAAGGTTATATATTAGTTTTTTTTTCTGAATAATCTACACAGGACAACATTTATCTAAAMCTCTCTAAAATGGTCCCTAAACCCCATCCATGCAATCTAGGAATTATTRTAAGTTGTAGTCAACAAGAGGTAACTCAGTAGTATGCAGGGGGTGTGAGATATTTTATATTATAACTTACAAATGTCTCAGAGGACACATTTGAACTACAGGAAGTAAGGAGAAAATAGACAAATACAAATTTAAAAGAWGTATGTAGAGAAAAAGAAAGTTCASCTTTCAACATACCTTGAATAATGAGACGGTATGCCTCTGTTGTTGAAATCCTATTAGAGAAATAATTAACTTTATAGATTCCAGTATCATTTTTAGTCAGCATTTTTAAGCAAAAGGTCAAACTTTCAGGACTAAAATTCCCTTTCTTTGCATCATAGAAAATGAAATCCCCATCGGCAATCAATTCTCCATTCAACGTCCAAGCAGCATTTTTATATGGAGGGTTTTTTTTAACATGCAGGCAAACTGAGCTGTTTTGCAGTTGATAACGTGTCGCTGGAGGTTCCTCTGCCATCACACCTAAAGGAAAATGTGTGAAGTAAAAATGTTTAAAATACATATACTGTCCAAACAAAAGTAAGTTACACCAGAGACATTGGATACAAAAAAAAGTGATGCACTGCATGGAGAAAGAAATTAAGTCACTTTTCTTGTTCAGTTTTTCCCTTTTTAAAATAAAAACGGAAAATGACCATGGCACAAGAATAAATATATGGGTAAACATACTACTTCAAAATCATGCWGGAAGGCTTTAGTTTTCTTGCTTAAGTTATATGCTTGTATATGTATATTTTTTGTTGTTTTRGGTTTCACATTAACGGTGCTGTACATGAGACAGACACCGCATGACATATGTCACCCTTCATTTGTGTTGATTTAATAAAAGAAAAAGTCAGAGATGTTGGCTCCTTCTTACCTGTGGATATCCAGTAACTCAGAAGCAGAAGAAGCATTTTTAAGATATCTGTAATCATGATCTGAGCAGGTGCAGAGCAGGAGACACGCAGCTCGTCACCCAACGAAGCTATATGCGAGCGTAAAATACCAGATGCTGTTTTTAAGAAGAAAACGGAAGTGAAGTAGCAGAGCAGGAAGAGTCAATGACGCAAATTATCATTGTTTCTTGAAGCTTATCAGTTTTCATTTTAAGTGTTTGGTTAGATTAAGTCCACTGGGATTTAGAATGTAAAAAAAACTCTGAAATGTGCCTTTATCAGCTCATAATTWTCTCTGAACTCTGAACTTATTTAGTAAATCTACATTACACAAAAACATATGCGTAACTGTAAATCACTTTTTTAATGGGATGTTTATCATATGATTAAATCTGTAACAAAAATAAAGTTACACATTTTTACTACTTTTTGCTGCGCAAACTAAACAGTACCAAGAACAAAAACCTTTTTCTGTCTCAGGTGATTTAGTTTGGCTTTATAAATAAGTATTTCCTGTGCTTGACTTCATGCCAAAAATATGCAAACAAAAGAAGAAGTGAAAATCCACCAGCAGTTTAGGCKTTTGCCTGTTGATCATAGAGGCGATCTTGTGGGTGGCTGATAAAYTAAAATTATTATGGTTAATAAAGGGTACAAAACATGTTAGCTAAAAAAAACTGATACAATRATTTATTTCCCTTAACTGCAACTATGATAGAATGCAGAAGAAGCAAAAATGTTAGATTCATTTAATATAGCCAACTTTTGCTGTTTTGAAAATCAAAACCTTTCACTGTAAGGAGGTATAAATACAGTGTTCTAAGGTGAAAACTTCCCAAACTTGCATTTTGATGAACTTTTGTTTTTGGTGTATCCATAAGGCCAAWCTTGTCATAGGTTGTGTTTACATTCAGGGACTGTGGTCAAATTCAAAGACCTTCCGATGTGACCCACAAAAGTGTCTTTCTTTTTCCCGATTTGAGGAGTGGGTCCGGTGGATCCTTCGCCTATCCCAAGATGCATTGTGGGCCAAGCAAAGGCAATTTTTTTTCTTTGCTTGTAAGGCAGACGAAGCAAGAGAAAGGAGTGCGGTTTTGAATGAAAATCTGAAGTTATAAAGATTGAAAGTTTAAAACAGTTGGGTTATAGGATTTTTTCATTCGAATAAACGTGTTTTTAATATTATTCTTCTTAAAAATCAAACAAGCTCATACGGTCAAATAAATGAGCATGTACGGCAAACCCCTTGGTTCTTCAAGTATTTCCTTTAAGCTAATTTTGTTATTTAAAAATATTAATAATAATATACTGATATTTTGCTAATTTAGACCCATTTTTCTTCTGTTTAGTGTTGTCACAGTTGCTAAGCACAGGACGTACGATGGGGTAAGGGCGGGAATAAAGTTGAAAGCTAGGTCGTTTTTCAGTCTTCACGGTCGATCAAGGACCCAGCCCACTYAAACAGGGGAGGYTTTCGAAGGATGCAGTCCCTGAATTTGAACACAGCCTGGGTCTTTAGGGTTATTTATTTATTTATTTATTTATTTGTTTGTTTGTTTGTTTGTTTGTTTGTTTGTTTGTTTGGGTTGTTGTTGTGTGTTTTAGTTTCCCCTTCTCGTTCCCTTGTTTATCCCTTCTCTTTCACAGTGTCCTCAGTTTGCTCCCTGTCTGTTGTCAATCAGCCACTCTCAGCTGTTGTCACTCCCCAATCAACCCATTTGTTTCCACATTCTAATCAGCCCCTGTGCTAAATATTCAGCTCCCTGCCTCCACTACTAAGACCAGCATTGTTATTCCTCGCCACTTGATTGCCTTGTTGTCGCTCTTTCACTAAGTTTTGCTGCSACGTCGGCCAGTTGTTTTTCCTTTTTATTTAAACTTTACCGTTTGGACTTTAATTTCTCCTGGAGTTCATTTGCATYATGGGTGTGACTGCCGACAAATCAAAAACCGAGTTGTGAGAGTGCACAGCTCAGCCTCGACCACTCACACATGTCTCCATCAAAATGGAATATTTTTTCATGAAATTTCCAGTTGCAGGGAGCTGGTGCCCATGTCACCATCAGAGAGGTGGGGTAAACCCTGGACAGGTCATGAGTCCATCACAGGGACACATGAAGACAAATAGGTCATCATTGCAAATGAGAAATGTTTGTCGTCTGACTTACCTGTTAAAACAAAGGTTTTTAACCACRCACACCTAGTATCAGGATTTGCAGRTAAATRTCAAATTTAAAGTAGCTGGGAGGATACATAGGACAAAGGAGGCATATGTGRTAAGAACAAGGTTTATTTAAGCTATTTACAAGTATAAACAGGAGCTGGATCCAAATCTGCAAAATAACATTTTATTTTTTCCAGGTGAGTATGTTAACAATTTTGCGTGGGAGAGCAGATGGAGGTTT